ATGCTAAAACACAAGGAATTGAGCTGTGATAGAGGACTAGTGCTACTGATGCAACTGACTCCACTTCTAAGAAGTTTCAGCCATTGCTGCTTACTTTCACCTCGGTGCAGAGTACCATCTGTTAGGTATTCTCATTTCTTCAGAGCACTTCTTCTTGTCTCTTGCACCAAGAATCCTTCCGTAGACACATGGTGCCACTGATACTGCACTATAGTTATGTAGCTACAAGAATTATAAACAGCTATTCCTGTAGCACTTGCTCATGTGCTGACACAATGTTCCAGCAGAAAAGCACAACCCATAGAAGCAGCAAACTCCTTCACGCTTACGTTTTCAGTTCTTCCTCCAACCACACACAGGCGTCCAGGTCAAGGTGGTTTGTGGGCTCATCGAGCAGCAGCATGAAAGGCCGAATGAAGAGGGCTCTGAAAAGAGAGGGAAGATGACAGCGCAGGGTAAATGCAGGTAACCCAAAGCCTCTTGGCTCTGCTCTGCAGTCTTAGAACTGTGGCTCCGCAGAGTCAGGGAGCTGTTCTTCCAGGATGCAGCAGGCGGTACGCCACTCACCTAGCAAGAGCCACCCTCATTCGCCAGCCGCCACTAAAGTCCTTCAGCTTCTTCCTCTGCATGGCTGGTGTGAAGCCTAAGCCGTGAAGGATACGCGAGGCCCGTGCTTCTGCCTTGTCAGCGTCCAGCTCCTCCAGACGTTCATACAACTCCAAGAGTTTCTCACACTCCGCTGAAAGAGAGCCTGCCTGTCAGCACTTCTACCAAGAAAGGGCTCTCAGCTGCACCTCTGTACAGCTGGGAAAGCTCACAGTCCATCTGCTTTACCACTATTAAGCCCCCTCCACTCCCAAGCCTGAGACAATTCTTACAAAGCTGCTTGGAATAATTCCATCCAAAGAAGTGTAATCCCACAGGACTTTTCAACTAGTACAAGGCAGCTCGGGGAAATAGGTGCCATAACATGTAAAAACTCCACTAAGGAACCCAAATAAAACCTATTCTCTGTTAGGGAGGGAAACGGATGAAATGTCCACAGGGACTCTGAGAAGCTTTACCATCTTCATGAGCCAGACGTTCCGCCTCTCGTTCTAACATGGCCCTCTCTGTATCCACCTCCATCACACACTGTAGAGGGGTCTTGTCACTGGGCGGCATCTCTCGGGTCAGGTGATAGATGTCAATATGCTCTGGGATGGGCACCTCTCGTTTCCCAATAGCTGACAAAAGCATGGATTTCCCTGTGTACAGACAGACACTCCACAATTAATTGTTGGATTGGGTGAGATACAATGTCACAGAGAAACAGACAAGATGCAGTCAGATCCCATTGAATCCCTCCCTTTCCAACACCAGAAAATCCCCGAGAATTTCTTTCCCAAGAGGCCAGAAGAATTAAAGACACAGCAGAGCCTACTGCCTCACTGCAACAGGCTGCCCTCCCAGCTAAGGCTCGGCACCCCAAGGACAGGATAAAGACAAGAAGCAGCTCTTTGGAAACCACTGCAGTTCAGACTTTGCCAGGATTTAGGGACTTTTATCTCTGCTATATACTTCCTGCTCTCCCACCAGGACCCCAGACTCTAAAAAATTCTAGCATAGAGGAAAGTAACACACTCATCACTAGAGAACCTAAGTGTTTCCCTGAAAGTTAAACCAGCCGGTAAATCTTACTAGCTCTCCTTCAATTACACCCATATTCTGCATCTCTCCATGTAGTGTTGCCTTCTCCAGGGATTGTACAGTTGTTTTCCCATTCAAGCCAGACAACACACTCCCTGCTCCTCCATACTGTGCAATGTCTTTGCACTGGGGGTTTTTTGACACTGCTAAACAAATCCTGCAAACAGGAATCAGCCAGATTCACAGATCCCAGACATCTCACCCGGCTCTCCACCGGAACAAGTTCAAATGCACAGTCCAAAGTCAGAAAGCAACCTCATACTTCTACCAGCAGTCCTAGCAATTCCCCTTCCTGGGCATGGAGATAGGAGAACGGAAACTGTCTAACCACCTTCTTTCCAGTTCCCAGCATTTACCACCTGCATCTGCCCAGCTTCTCAGCAGCACAGAACCTTTACCAAGCTCCAAGAAGCCCACATCACTGTTCCCCACATCTTACCAATCCCGTTGAGTCCAATCAGGCCGTATCGCCTCCCGGAGTTCAGCTCCAGCTTTGTGTCACTCAGCAGCTCCTGGCCATGGAAGGTCAGCGAGAGGTTAATGATGTGGACATCAGTGCTGTTGGGATGGGACGCCAGCACTCCTGTCACAGCTCGGGCAGCAGCTTTCTTTAATTCAAAGTCCTCCAGCTCCTTTGTAAGAGCATCTACCTCTATATGCAGAGACAGAACAGGAGTGGTACCAATTTACAAATGCAAGGGAAGCCGAAAGCCCCCGTACCAACAGGCACACGATCACAAAAACAACTCCCATGTCCCCATTTCTACAGACTCACTGAGGAGGCCCAGAGGCAGTGACACTCAGATTTTCAGTGCAGCAGATGGGTATATACGGTCCAACAGGAACTTCCACCTGCTCTCTAAATAAAATCTGACCATTGGAACTAAGCGAGCAGCCAGAACAGCTTGTCTGTTATCCAAGTATGACGGATATTCCTACTCACTGCAGGAAGGGCTGGCTGGGGTGGGAAGAGAACCAACGAAATATTGCTTGCCAGCTTAAGGACAGGGCAGGCCAAAAGAGAGCTTGGCTAGAAAATAAATGAAGGGAAAGCTGAGAGAAGGAAAGAAGCAGCAGCATTGGAATAGGTCCTAACAATTTTTTGAGAGGCTAACGTGTCCATACACATGCCCCCCTGGTCCTTTCCTCCTACAGGAGAAGCAATTCTTCCCTGTCACGCTGATCTGCTGCTGCAGCCCTGAGTTACCTTCACTGCCATTTGAATAAGAAACTAGCACGGAGGGTCTCGGCGATGCCCCAGATGCTCTGAGCAGGGAGCTGGCGTTCAGGGCAACGACAGAGGCTGTCAGCAGCTGGCACCCCCGGCAAAATCACTATTACCCCCGAGGCACACGGGCCTTAGCCAAGGAGCCAGGAATGGCGGCTGCACTGACAGGGAACCACACGGGACCCTCCGAACGCGCGGGCACCGGTCACACAAACGAGCAAGCCGAAGGAGCGAAGAGGGCAAGGCAGGCTGATCTTTGACGTGCCATTATTCCTCAGGGAGCCGCGAATATGAAATACGCCTTTCCCACCCCGCGCAGCCCGCCCGCCGCTCTCTGCTCCGGTGGACCTCCCCTCCCCCCCGGCCCCGCAGCGCCGGCCCGTCCGGCGGAGGGACACCTCGCGGCCAGTTCCACACTGCCACCGGCGGAGGGACACCCCGCGGGCTAGCCCCGCCTTCACCAATAGGAGGACGGTATGCAAATTAGACGCGGAAGCGGACGGCGATTGGCCGGTGGGGCCCTGGCGGGCGGGGCCGGGGGTCGCGGTGGGGATCGGGCACCGGAGGGGCCTGGCCCGCGGTCCCAGCCCGCCCGCCCCACCGCCAGCAGCGCCCGAGGGGGCCTGGGATCTCCGGGAGACCCTCGTGCTGCCCCGGGTCTCTGTGCCACTCACCGAGCGCCGCTTATAACAACGCACCGTGGGCTGAGCCCGGATAAAACCTGCGTGCCCAACCACCTGCGGGTTACGGGGGGCTAAAGTCAGGACAGACAATAAACTACCTCTCTGTAAACTTTACCTCGCCTGTTTCCTTTAGGGAGGCCAACAGCTCTCTGCTGACAGAGTGTCTTTCATTAAGACAGCCAGGCTCTTAGTCTCCGAAAAGCAGGAATGTCCCAGAAAAAGAGCTGGACAGAGACTCATAGCAATATCGGTAAGAATAGTAAGAATTCAGACACTGCAGTGGTTCCTGCAGCAGGAAAAAACCAAAACAAACAACCCCTCCAAAAAAACCCCAAACAGGTCTGGGCATCAAGTACCACAAGATGGGGACGGTATTTCTTTGAGAGGGAAAAGACACCATCAGCATGCTCCGCCTTCCCCCTGCCAGCCTCAGCGAGGGCGCAGGGAACCCTTCGCCTGCCCGGTCTGTGACGAGACACCACACACCGTCACCGGTGTCCCGCCGGCTCAAACCAGCCCTAACGGCAGCCGCTGCAGCGCCCCGCTCAGCACAAGCCCGTACCCGTCAGGTACTTCATCCGAAGAGGCACGGGCGTCCCGGTTCACTCAGCCGTGGGCACAACCGAGTGGCAACAGCCCTGCCTGGGCGCTCCCAGAACCGGAACCTGAGGGCCGCCGGTTCCCCCCGCCGGGGCTCCCTGCCGGAGGCGCACGGACACGAGGAACCGGCGTCCCGGCGGGGCCGTCTCTCACCTGGCAGTGACGTTCCGTTGGCTTCCGGGGGCCGGACCTCCTGCGGCTCCGTCCCGGCATCGCCGTTCTCCTCCGGGGCCCGGCGCGGCCGCTGCCGGGCCTTGGCTGCCTCCTTCTTCTTGGCTGCCTTCTTCTTGGCCAGGTCCGAGGGCATGGCGCGGCTGAGGGCCTGCGGCGGAGGGGCGACAGGCGCCGTTAGGCCGCGCCAATCCGCCCTGCACCGGACCGCCCCGCCCTGGTTCCCCGCCCCGCCAGCCCCGCGCACCGCCCGCTCCGGCCCGGAGCACGCGGCGCCGCCGG